ATGGTGACAGCTAAAAATAACTGCTTTCTGCCTGATAGTCCACAGTAAAAAAACATAGTTAGGCACGTCCGTCTGGGCTAGGGCTCTCGAGGTCTGAGAAGTGATTTCCTGCAGCGGTCCGTGGGCACCTGCTCCAGGCCGGAGCCCGAGCCTGTGCTTGCTGCTCTAGACCCTCTTTGGCCTCTTCTCCTGGAGAAGGCTTGCCTGGGATGGAGGGTCACCCCGGTATCACCTTCTTCATGGAACTGCAAGCTGGGAGCGTTATTAGGGGTTAACCGAGAGACCCACTCACTGAGGTTCTCCCTCCTCCGTCTCCCCTGGTCCCCCTTGTTAGGGGGCTGAGTTTTTGCCTTTGGCTGGAGGAGAGGAGGGGAAATAATAGGATGCTGGAGGTTATAGGCCAGAGGAAAAATTATTCCTTATTCTACATGATTATCAGCTTGAAAACATCTGCAAATTTAATAGCCAAGGATTATTGCTGTTAGTTCTGGCTACAGGAGGGATTGCCCGCACGCACGTGTGTGTGTGCACGTGTGCACGTGTTCATCTCATCATGTCATTCCTAGCTTTTATTCACAGCCAGCCTAACCTGGTCCCAGTTACAGGCACATTCCCTTTTCAGCAGAGTATGTTTCAGAGGCTTTCTCAGAACAGCTCTTGGCGAGGAGACATCTTGCTTGCATGTTGTCACAATTACCGTTGCAGGTGTGGACACGCATTTCCCCAGCCAGCAGGCAGGTAAAGCCAGCCAGGTCTGAGGTGGAAGATGTGCATCCAGCAGCAGCGAGAGGCCGGAGTGTGAACCTGCGGTGTCATTTCTGGGCGTTTGTAACTGATGGAGAAGAAAGAGCAGTTCTGAGTTCCAGCAGCAGGTGAGAGGCTGGCTTTGGAGCAGAAGCCGTTTCAAGGAGAATAAATACCTGAGGGAGACGGGTGTGTGAACACTAAAGAGCAGTGGGTGATTTCTGTCCCTTTCCCCTGTGAGCATGTGGGGGACAGCAGGACAGGACCGTGAATGGAGGGCATGGAGAGGACAAAAGGACCCTCAGGCCACATTTGGGGGTAGAGCTGGAGCCTGGTAACACCTGGAGTTTTCTGTGACAGTGATGCTGCCCCTCCCTCCCTGATCTGTTGGTCCCTCTCACTGTCCCCATTTCTCCTCCTTTGAGGAACAGGTGCATTTCACATCCTGTCTGTGGTTTATTATGAAAATGATATGTTTCCTTCATTCTTTAAAGACAAAATTAGACCTTTCTCTGTTTTTCCCAAACTACACATCTCTTGCGCCCTGACAGAGATTCTTGGCTCAATAGAAAGCCACGTCCCTGCATCCGTTGAATAGGATGCATCTACAAGAAAAACGCAGCCTCGCTTAGCTTTAGTAGGTTAAACAAAAATTGAATAAGTCAAGGAAAAATACTCCCATCTCGTTTGTTTGCTTAAATGTGAAACAGAGATTTGGAAATTTCCCAACGACAAAAATACATCTTTCAGGTCTATGTTCTGTCGTGGTACGTGATGGGTGAGGGTGGGAGAAGGGTTAGAAGAGAAGTGGGGTGCCAGGGGAGACCCCACCACTGTCAGGACCCCCTGCTGGCTGGGGCTCCATGTCTGAGACATCTTTTTGACCAAAACATCACCACGGTTTTCCCAAAGGGAGATTTAGCAGAAGCAGCGAGAGTGATTGAACTCTGGTCTGATTTCTAAAATCATGCTTGGTGTTAACTTGCATCCCGGAAAACCAACCTGCTCTGAGCAGAGCACTTAGGGTTGCCTGGGGCAGCACCCCAAAAATCTCAGGGTCTCTTGCTTGGCACTGGTTTTTTTCAGTTTTGTCTGCTTGATGGAAAACCATTCCAGCAGGACTGGCGCTTTCTGCAGAGACTTAGGAAAGCTGTTTCTGATCCCGGCTCCAGTGTCCTTGCTGACTTAAGGCCTCTGGCCGTGTGGTGGGGACTTCCCAAGGAAGTTCTTGTAGATTTTAGGATAAGGAGCGTAGCATCCGAAAACTCCTCACATCTTGGCAGAATCTGCCACATTATATGATTAAAGAAATAAAATAGGAGTACGCATGTGGAATATAAGAGTTGCCTTTCACTTTCAGAGATACGTGCTAAATAAGGGAGTGTTAAATTTAAAAAGGTTTAAAGAATATAAATAAACTATGCAGATTTACTTATACTAAAGACTCGGAAGAAATGATGATGGAAATGGACTCTGGAACCTGAGCCAGCTCAACCACTTAAGAGCTGTGTGTCCTTGGGCAAGTGACTTACCCTCTCTGTGCTTCAGTTTTTTTTTAATTGCAGTACAATTGATTTACAATGTTGTGTTAGTGTCTAATGTACAACATAGTGATTCAGTTATACATATATATTCTTTTTTCATATTCTTTTTCATTACAGGTTACTACAAGCCATTGAATGTAGTTCCCTGTGTTATACAGCAGGACCTTGTGGTTTGTCTGTTCTGTACATGGCAGTTTGTATCTGCTAATCCCAAACTCCTAATTTATCCCTCGCCTCCCACTCCTTGGTTTTTTCTTCTGTGAAATGGGGCTAATCCTGGTTGTTACAGGTAGCACAGGGGTTAGGAGAGGCACAATGCCCGGTTCTATAGTAACTTCTCTTTTGACGTCAGCTGTTGTTAGTAGCTGCTGTTTTCTGAACTTGATTTCCTTTACCCCCACAGTAAGGAGGGCCACCGCATCAGTGGTTCTCTGCCTGGCTGAACCCTAGAGTCACCTGTGGAGCTTTTAAAATTCCGATGCCTGTCGCCTCTCCCTGGGTGCCCTGAGACAGAATCTCTGGGAGTAGGGCCTCGACATCTGCATTTGAAAAAAAGCTTCCTGTGTGATTCAGGGGCACAGTGAGGCTGAGACCTTCGAGCTTGAAGGCTGTATTTCTATTTGGAAGGGTTACAGCGTCCCTTCCCACACTCAGTGCATTAATACATGTGACGAGACTTGAAAGTCACATAGCATGAAATTAGCCATTTTAAGGTGTGCGGCTCAGTGGGCACACATCCGTGATGCTCTGCAGCTGCCATCTCCTTCCAGTTCTTAACCGTTTTCATCCTCCCAAAAGAAAACCTGGTCCCCATTAAGCAGTCACTCCCCATTCCTCCCTCCTCTCAGCACCTGGCAACCACCGGTCTGCATTCTGTCTCTGTGGCTTTACCCGTTCTGGACAGTTCATAGAAATGGGATCAAAATACATGGCCTTTTGTGTCTGCTGCTTTTACTCACATGATGTTCTCCAGGTTCATTCATGTTGTAGCGCATGTCAGGACTGCATGGCTGAATAATCATCCATTGTGTGTACATAACATGTTTTGTTTACCTGTTTATCCATCGACGGACATGTGGGTGGTGCCCACCCTTTGCCTCTTGTGCTGCCGTGAACATTTGTGTGCAAGGATTTGAATACCTGTTTTCTGTTCTTCATGGTGTAGACCTAGGAGTGGAACTACAGTGGTAACTAACTGTTCGAGGAACTGCCAAACGGTTCAATTGTGATGAAACTGTAATGTGTCTCCTTTGCCCTGCAGATCTTCCTTGACCTGTCCCCACTGCCTGAAACAGAGCAACACCTTTGACCCTTTCCTGTGTGTGTCCCTGCCTATCCCCTTGCGCCAGACGAGGTACGTGAGTGCCACCCCCGCCAACTTGACTTCCATCCTTTCTCCTCGTGGGCAACCTTTTGCTTCTCAGCCAAGCATTTCTCTAGAAACCAGCCTTGTACCTGGGGGGCATTGAGTTATTAAATGGGGCAATTAACGTGAAAGGTTACTGTGCCCTTCCTTAGCAGAGGAAGGAATTATATAAACATGCTTTTGTTTATTGGCCCCGTTGCCAGGCTGATGACTTTGGCCCATTCAGGAGCCGGCACAGGCCAGTTGGTACCACTCGGTCAGACGGGGCAAACCGGAGAAATCTGTCACCATCTGCCTTCCCTTGCTTTATTTCCAAATCCTTTTTCCTCTCGGTGAAGGTGTAGGAAAGGTTTATTTAAGGAGCAAAGAAAAAGGAAAAGTGTGGTAGGGAGATAGGAGAAGAAAAAGAAAAGAGGAGGCGGGATGAGGGGGGAGGCGTGGTGAAGCTCAGCTCTGCAACAGTAGGAAGCACGCACGGCAGGCGTCGCAGGAGCCCAGGGCTTCGCAGTGACCGTTACGGCAGCTGGCCAGTGTCAGCCTCGTGGAAGGTCAGTGAGCTCCTACACGGGACGCCTTCCCTGGCCTTGAAACCAGCACTTCTTCCCTGTATTCCCCTCCTCCAGAAAAGCCATTTCTCTTGCTCTCTATCTGTTGACATCCTCCGTCCATCGTTAGGATGCAGTGAAGACAGGATGGCTTTATAAAGCCTTTCCTGGCAACTCAGTCCCCCTTTCTGCTCTGAATTCCTGTGCTGTTGATTGTCTGTGCCACAAATATAACACTGGTTTAGCCTCTCATCAGTGACACCATCCAGTGATGTCTGCTGTGAGCTGTGGTCCCTGGCCTGATGCAGCATAGCGCGGTGGTTAGGACCCCTGACTCTGGGGCCCGACTCCCTCGGCTCCAGTCCCAGCTCTGCTAACTAGTTGTGTGAATTGGCTAATTATAATTGGAACCAGAGAGAGTGTCCAGAGAGATCGGGGGGCAGAAAGGCTGTGTCCTGTTACCATGGGGGGAAGTTCCCTTTTGCTTAAGATTATCTATTTAGCATACAGAACCTTGAGACCATAGATCTATATAGATGTCCCTGACTCACGATGGTTCGATTCACAATTTTTTGACTTTATGATGGTGTGAAAGGCAACACTTTATTTTCACATCGGCTTTGTGTGAGATGATTTTGCCCGACTGTAGGCTCATGTAAGTGCTCTGGGCACTTTTAAGGTAGGCGAGGCTGAGCTATGATGTTCAGTAGGTTAGGTGTATTTAATGCCTTTTCGATTTAAGATATTTTCAGTGTACAATGAATGGGTTTAATGGGACGTAATCCCATCATAAATTGTGGAAGATCTGTATTGTCATTCTTAATCACATGTCTTATTTTTAACTTGCTGGGAAACTACACTCAGTGGAGACCCTTGGCGATTTGGCTCTCCACTGCCACCTGGTGACAGCATACCTGAAGTGCAGTAACCCCACCGGGAAGCAGAGACCTGCCCAAGTGCCGAACTTGATGCGGCGTCAGGGATGTTGGCAACAGTTCATGTCAGTCCTTTAAGGATGTGGCTTTCTTCCTATTTTCCAGATTCTTGAGCGTCACCTTGGTCTTCCCCTCGAAGAGCCAGCGGTTCCTACGGGTCGGTCTGGCCGTGCCCATCCTCAGCACGGTGGCAGCCCTGAGGAAGATGGTTGCAGAGGAAGGTGGAGTCTCTGCGGATGAGGTGTGGTGGCACTGCACTGGGGCCCGGTCACCGGACGATGAATGCTGACTGGGCCAGCTGTCTAGGCTGCTTAGGCTAATTTCTGGCTTGCTGGTGACTCCAGGGTGATTCATGAGTTTCTCTTTGATTAGTAGACCGTGGTGTCTGTGATGACTGGCTTTGACCTCTCCCTGCATTTTCATAGAATAACCAAAAAAGGACACCACCTTCGTCTTCCAAGAAGGTGATGGTGATTACGATCATCATTGTTTCAACGATAGCTGACGCTCAGTAGTGTTTGCTAAGTGCTGGGCACCATTCTATGAACTTCATGTTCATAGCTGATTGACCCCTCCCAGCCATCCTGTGAGGTAGATATTACAATTATCTTCATTTTACCAGCAAGCCCAGAGAGGGTAAGTGACTTGCTCAAGGTCACACAGCTTGGCAGTGGCTGGGCCAGGATTTGAATGCAGATTGTTTGATTTCAGAACTGAAGTCGCTAGTCTATATTTTTAGTCCTGAGACAAGGCAGGATACTGAAGGGACAGTAAATGAAATATGAGGCACTGCTGAAGGAACTGGGGATGTGTTCATGAGAGAGGCAGTCTGGGAGAGAGGGGATGGATGTGCTCAATTAAAAAAAACTTTTTTTGAGATTCTTGGTAAAGAGTTTGGATTCACTGTGGGGTTTTTTCTTTTCTTTCCATCTTTCTTTTCTTTCTTCCTTTCTTCCTTCCTTCCTTCCTTTTTTTTCCTTTCTTTCTTTCTCTTTCTTTCTTTCATTTATTTACTTAATGGGTGTACTGGGGATTGAACCCAGGACCTTGTGCATGCTAAGCATGCAGTCTACCAATTAAGCTGTACCCTCCCCTGTCACTGTGACTTTGGAGGGCAGACTCCTACCAGCATCCCCCGCCCCACCCCCCGAGGACATGGTAGAGGTGATGGTGGTGAAAAGCAATGTCACATGATGGGAAGGGCTTAGAACGGGGTTCTAATTGTGGTTTGGTCACTTTCTAGTTTTTTGACCTTAGACAGAGTAATTGGTCCTCTGTGTCTTTAACTGTAATATGAAAATTCTACACTTCCCTGGTGACCTCCTGGGATTTTTCTTTTTGTAAATGAAAAATATTTTAAGCTTTTTTTTTGTTGAGGAATAACATAGATACAATAAAATGTACATCTCTTACTGTTATAACTTGTTGAATTTTTACATGCGTGTACATCTGTGTAACCACACGATTACTCAAACTGCTTCCTGCCCCACCCAGTCAGTCCCTCGGACTTCGGTCACCATTTTAACGAGAATCTCAAATAGGGGGAAAAACGGTGTGTATCTTGCTTTGTAAGCCCAAAGTGCTGTATGGGGATCTATTGAGAGAGAAGAGAGCAGGACAGTGGGTGAGAAAGAGTCCTGGGGAAAAAATGACAGTAATAAAAGATCAAAAGGGGGGCAATCTGAGAGGCGGAGTTTGAAACATTAAGAGAGTAGAGGGAGTGTCAGGAATTGGAAAGCTGTGATGTGTCTGTGCAGGGAGGTGGTCACTTGAGATTCCTAAGTGCAGGGTGGGCATTTTAATTGCAACTTAAACATCTATTTTGATATTTTGTTTTGACTGGTAAGTTTATTCCAGCTATGATCATGGATGTATTTGGATTCATTTGCATCATTTTATTTTATGCTTTCTATTTACTCTGCTTTTGTTTCTTTTTTCTCTACTGCTTCGTTTTGGATTGAGCAATTTTTCTTTATTTCATCTTTCCTAGTTTGGGATATATACATTGTATTCCTATGCTCTCACTGGTCATCGTTGACATGTCAACATGCGTGCCTAACATGGTCTTATGTTAATTTTCCCAAACAACACAATTTATGCTTTCATTTCCCATGTAGCTTTTTGATTTAGATATTGTTGCAGGTGGATATTATTATCCAATATTCGAATCCCTGCTCCCTTTTCTCACAGGTTACAGTAGTGGTAATGGTTGTTATCATTATAGGTTTACATAGCCAGTGCACATTTACACATATGAATATGTACCATTTTCTTTGGTTCTTACAATTCAAGTTTGCCTTCTGAGTTTAGTTTGTCTGTTCGTTTAACCCTGAAATGTATCTTTTCCAAGAGAATTTCTCAGTCACTGTGCCCTGAATGGGTTATGAGTGCTGAGTTGTTGGCTCCTTCGGGCTTTCAGGGGACAGAGTTGGGTCTGCGATAGCCAAGACCCTCAAGGCAGTGACCCCTCTCCTCCACCACAAAACCGGCTTCTTCTGCTCGCCTCTGTGTTCCATACAGATATTTCCCGTATACGACATAATGTGAAAAAAAGACAGCAATAGTATTTAGAAGTTTTTTCAGCAGAGTTGTGTTAGTGGTAAACCCCCTCACTTTTTTTTGACCTGAAGTGGGCTTTATTTTAGGCTCCTTTTTAAAAAATTAATTAATTAATTAATTATTTAATTGAAGTATAGTCAGTTTACAGTGTGTCAGTTTCTGGTGTACAGCATAATGTTTCAGTCATACATAGACATACATTTTTACATTTCTTTTCATTATAGGTGACTACAAGGTATTGAATATAATTCCCTATGCTCTACAGTATAAACTTGCTGTTTATTTTATATATACTAATTATTATCTGCAAATCTCGAACTCCCAGTTTATCCCATCCCATCCCCTTCCCCACCTGGTTTAAAAAAAGAAAAAGGCAAATGAACTTATTTACAAAACAGAAACAAACTCACAGACAGAAAACAAACTTAGGCTCCTTCTTGCACGATAGTTTAGCTGGGTATAAAACTTTCGATTTCCGACTTTCTTCTTCCTGCTCTTCCTTCAGCCCTTTGATACTCTGCTGTTGCAGTTGAGTTGCAATCTAATTGTTATACCTGCTGTGTTTTATTACTAAAAATACTTCAAGGAAAGAAAGAGTAGAAGAGAGGTTTAAGACTCTCAGTCACTTTTAGACTTCCTATTTGTTAAGCTCCCTTTGAGAAGCAAGAGGGAAAATGATCCTTGTTGTTCCAGGTGATCTTGGTTGAACTGTATCCCAGTGGACTCCAGCGGTCCTTCTTTGATGAAGAGGACCTGAACACGATTGCAGAGGGAGATAATGTGTATGCCTTCCAAGCCCCTCCGTCACCTGGCCAGGAGATGCTCTCAGGTACACTCAAAGAGAAGAGCGGCTAGAAGCCGGGGTTCTGACCCAGCAGAGCAGGTCCTTTAAGAATACAAGTGTGTAACATTATAATGCTCTCTCTTCAGCTCGTCCATCTGTTTTGCCAGTATCCCTGCGCCTGTCTGCCCGTGAAGGTCAGCGATTAGCCCTTCCCGTCAACAGTGAGACCAAGGTGCTAATCCTCTTCTGTAACCTGGTGGGCTCGGGCCAGCAGGCCAGCAGGTTTGTTTCCTGCATCTTTTATATGATGTCTGGGATGTGTAGATATGTACTTAGAATTCAGTCTAGAATAATTCTAATTTGATCAAATTAAATATCCATTCACAAGGTCAATCAACAAGGATTTCTGATCAAGAAATCTGATCAAGATGATCAGAAATAACTGCCTTGAGCAGATAGCAAACATTGTCCTTAATTAACAGTTAAGCATCAGAGGTTTTCCTGTGGTTTCAGGAATGATTATTACTGCTCTCACCACTGTTTATGCTGGATTGTAAGGCCTACGCAGTGCAGGACAAGAGAAAAGAAACTGCCTGTAGGAGAGAGAAGATAAAATCACCACTCTTTTGCAGATAATTTTATTGTCTGTCCAGAAAACCAGGAACTTGAAAGTGATTAAAACTAATGAAAGAGTTCAAGAAAGTGACTGGTTGCATAACAAATACACCAAAATTGTTTTCTTATAAAATTCAAATAGAAATGTTTAAAAGAGATCACTCCAGTGAAAAATTTTTTGATGGATAAAATGTTGGTAAAAATTTATCAGGGATAACAGACTCATAAGAAAAGCAAGAAAATATTGGGAGAGGGAGAAAGAAGGAAGAAGGATTGTTCTATTAAAACAGAATAAAGTTTTAATTAGTAAAGTATTGTGATATAAGCAGAAGAATATACATATAAATCAATGACCCAGAAAAGCCCAAGTGTGTTTTTGTTATGTGATAAAAATGGCATATGTCATGTTACTAAAGAGTGAACGAATTATTCAATATGTAACACTGGGCTAATTGATTTCTCACTTTCTTTTTATTTTAAATGTTTATTTTACTCCTGCCATAAATTAACATTAATTCACAGAAGAATAATATTATTAAATATTAAAATTTTATATTATTAAATTAAATAATATTTAAAAATATTAAGTTATTAAAATATTCAGCTTCATTAGTAGCCGAAGAAATTCTGATGGCACTAGCAAGATGCTGGACTTAACCTTTCAGATTATTAAAGGACTTTTAAAAATGGATGATACTCATTCTGGGCAAGTGTCCAAGGAATGGGGCCCTTGCCTCACTGGTCAATTCGTGTGGCTTTTCTGGAGAGCAGTTTGGTAATGAATAGCTTTGGTCTCTCATTTCCACTTCTGAAACTTTGTCCCAGAGAAACAGTTAGTCACAGGCACCCAAAGGTATATATAAAAGAATGTGTATAGTTCCTGCCACAGGCAAGCATTGCTTAAATAAAAAACTGGAAACCACCTGAGCGCCCAATAATAGGTAAGGTATATAAACCCATCTGTGCGTGTATCAGTTGACACCCAGTGCTCCTGCCGGTCCACACGCACCAGCTCACATCTGCGCTGTATTTTAGCAACGTTAGTTCAACAGTAGCATGTCCTTTCTCCATTGGATCTGCACGCAACCTTGCACGGGGTGGCCAGCAAGCAGTCAGTGGCCAGTGATTTGTCTGGAGGCACCCACGGCAGAGCTGGAACCCACAGCCACAGCTGCGGCCACAGTGGGCGCTCTCAGACCACCAGCCCACTGCTGTGTGTTCATGAGACCAGGATGTGGGAACAGTCCCAGTCACGAGAATATTCCTGATACACAAAGTCATCAGCGTGTCCACTGGACTGGCTTCCCTCTGGGCTCACCTCTGCCTGGCTTTCCTCTGGGTCCCCGGTTCTCTTAGTCTCCTCTCTCTCTGGGAAGGAGGGCATCCCAGCCGGCCAACCATGTGGAACCATCTCTTTCATCGCAGTGTCTCTCTGGCTTTGCTGCTGTTTGCACTGCAGTGTCTCCATTTGTAATGAGGGGCTGCAGTGGGCAACTGTGTGCTGTGCTGGGTGCTTAACTCTTTTCCAGTTGAGAGAAGCCAGTGAGCGGAGCGAATGCTTTTGACTGTTGGGCACTGTTGGTTTTTCTTTTGCTGAAATCGCCTCGTTCCCTTGGGTTTCCAGGTTTGGGCCACCTTTCCTGATAAGGGAAGACAGAGCCATCTCCTGGGTCCAGCTCCAGCAGTGCATTCTCGGCAAGGTTCGCTATCTGATGAAGAGTGAGGCCCCTGTGCAGGTCCGTGAGAGTGTGTGTGCGTGTGTGTGTGTGTGTGTGTGTGGTTGAGGGGAGGTGGGGAAAAGGGGTAGGAACCTAGGGGTAGCTCAGGAATGACAAGAATTCGCTGTCAATTGAGAGTGTTTACATTGTCATATAAAACAACTCTGATTTAGCTGGGAGGGTGTAGCTCAGTGGTAGAGCACATGCTTAGCATGCATAAGGTTCTGGGTTCAACCCCCAGTACCTCCTCTAAAAATAAATTAGTAAACCTAATTACCTCCCATCTGCCAAAAAACTCCAAACAAACTTATACATTTGGATTAAGAATTTCAAGGGACTTGAGGTCTAACTTCTGTGGAAAATTAACATTTATGTTTATGTCCAAATATGAAAACCTAGGTAGTAAAATAATTTTGTCCCGTTTTTGAAAATCAGATAAAAACTCAAGGGGAAACACCTTTTTGCCTTGCTCATTTATTTATTCTCAGACTGATAGTTTCCAAATGAAAACAACAAATTCTATAAACCATTCCTTTTAGCCCCTAGCGTATCAGAAACTGTTTTGATGGCTCTTTGGCCAAGAAGACATTGGAATTTTTAGGGACAGGTCAGCAGCCTCAGAATTTTGTTTTCCCCTCAACTATTCTCTAAGAACTTTTCACCTGGGAGACGTACCAAATATTTCAGAGGGAATTCTTCATAATTCATTTTCCTTCCTGCTCAAGGAAAACCACACATTTGATTCCGGATTTATACCAAATTTCACTTTGTTGAAGTTGTTTTACATTTTACTTTCTGCATCGGTACCGAATCTTTATCTCCAAAGGGTTTTGCTCCATCTACTGCCTAGCAGGTCTGCCACGGTGCCCTAATTAGAAACTCTAACTTCCCTCTAAGTAGGTCAGACTATCTAGTAATAGCTTTAGCCGTCCCCAAGCCCTATGCTCCTGACTGCTGAAAGTGGATGAAAACACTTTCATGCGAGCGTTGGACTCAGCTGGACTTTTATCCCCCCTGGTCACCCGTGTGCTTTCCCCTCCGCACCTCTGCCGTCTTTTCCATTTTAGAAACTGATCAAGGAATCAATGGGGCCGGCAGGACTCTAACGCAGGCAACGTCCAACTCAGCTACGAATGCTTTTGCACGATTGCGTTGGTGAACGTGTGGACGGGCTTGGTTTTCTGCAGGAATAATGTGTACAGAGGCTCCCAGGCTAGCCCACCCACTCAGCCCTAAGGCTTCTAGGACTATCTTTTGAATAATTTGAAAAAAATTTGGAAAGAATTGGTCATTGGTAATAATTTGGAAAGAATACATTCAATCTTCTCAACACGGAATGGGAGAGATGAAAAGGAGTGGATAGCTACCGAGGGTCCCAAAGTGAATTTCCCTAGCCAAGAATAGAGGACAGGAAAATGTCTCTTACAAAAATGACCAATTTGCTGGATGGGATGAATTTGCATGAATAATGAAAAAAAACAGATTCATCATTGCCAAGACATCTTTCTGGTCACTTTGTAAAGTTTCTTCGTGTGGAAGCAGAGTGAGCTGCCTCCATGTGTCGGTGCCTTGATTATGTCGCTATCCAAACAGCAAGGCTCAGTGACAGGGTCCAGGAAAAAAGCGCCCCCACCCCACCCTCCCCAGTCCCAGATTTAACTAACTTCTCCTTAAGAAGTACACCCTCACATGACCAGCCCTGAATCTAAGACCCTGAAGTCAGCTTGCTTCCAGCCACCAGTTTTGTGTTTGCTGAAGCTGCAGGTCAGCTACAGTGTGGTTGTAGTCTAGCCAGGCATCCGCTCCCCGGACATCACTGGCCCCCCTCCCCGCCGCACGTTCAGCTGCCGCAGCCCGGGAGTCAGCTCACAGGCCCTGAGGATGTTTTGAGTCTCGCTGTCTCTTCATGCCTTGTTCCTCTTTCTTTGAATTATAATCCTTTCCCCCTCTTCTGTCTGAAGTCAATCTGTATTTCGTCTATTTCTATATTAGTGTGTTTTAAGTAGGGATTTCTGCCTTTTATCTTTGTCAGAGTTGGTAAGAAATTTTTTATTTTTTCCTGGCTGCAGCCAAGGTCATCAGTGACAATTGGAAGAACTGTATTTCCATTGCTTGACGAGTCCATTGATTTTTTTTTAAATTGTGGTAAAATGTACCTAACATTTATTTTAGCCATTCAGAGGTGTAATTAATTATAGTCACAATGCTGCAGAGCCATCACCACCCTACCCCCCCAATTTTTCATCCTCCCCATAAACACTACACCCATTAAACAGCTCCCACTCCCCCCAGCCTCTAGCCCGTGAGAACCTCCATCCTACTTTCTGTCTCTGTGAACCTGACCATTCTAGGAACCTCACATAAGCAGAATCATACAATATTGGCCCTTCTGTGTCTGGCTTATTTCACTCAGCAAAATATTTTCAAGGGCCATCCATGCTGTAGCATGCGTCAGCATTGTCCGCCTTTTTAAGGCTGAGTGATATTCCATTGTGTGTATAGACCACATTTTGTTTGTCCATTCATCTGTTGACGGACACTTGGGTTGCTTCCACCTGTTGACTATTGTGAATCATGCTGTTTAAGGCTGACTTCAATTTCAGAAAAGTTAGAATATGAAAAAAAGTACATCTTAGAATAAAAACATAGATAGTATTCTTTTTACATGGCTTATTTTGAAATGTATAAATACTTATTTAGCTTTTGGTATGGAAAGTATTCACCAACTTGCTTTTAGATACTTGCCTCATTTTGGTAATTTGGTGATGGTCATAACCATCTTAATAAAGTAAATTAAATTACCTGTTAATAATTACAGAACACAATTGGTTTGATTTCCCATTTACTGTGCCAACAGTTCCTCCAATTAAACATGTGTTGTTTTAAAATACTGTGATCATTGTTTTGGAAATTTTAATGTGTCAAATGGTGTTAGATCACTATTAAAAGGTGCACCCTTGTCTCTTAAAAAAAATTGAAGGCTTTCTGTCTCTAGGTTTGGAATAGTCATTATTAAGGGAATATTCAAAATATACTGTGAACGAAAGGTTACTCTTTGGAGTAACTTCTTTGCACCTAACAGTCTGATTGACACCAGCGTGCATGGCGACCTGCTTCCTGTTCTTGTCTCGGCAGAACCCGGGATCCCTGTTCGCCATCCGGGTCGTGGGGCTCTCCCTGGCCTGCAGCTACTTGTCCCCACAGGACAGTCGGCCCCTCTGTCACTGGGCAGTTGACAGGTAAGCAGATGGTCCAGACCTGGTAAGAGAATGAATGTGTTCTTACGTGACTAGACGCCTTCAAGACTGTGCATCAGGACAACAGATGACAGTCTTTGCTACTCTTGGTCCCTGACGTCTCCAGCACCAGCGACGCTGTTAGGTCCTTATACTCCTTCCGTGCCTTCAACCCTTACGTCTTGAGAGATCCTAATGGTGTCTTCAAAGATGAGGAGACACCGAGGTTCCCAGAGATGAGTTAACGTGATCACACTCACTCGGCTAGTTAGTAGCTGAGCCTGAATTTGAACCCAGGATGGTTCTGACTTAAAAAATCCGTTCAGTGAGGCTGTGTTACCAAATTCAACCTGAATGCCAGCTCTTGAGTAAGGGAGAATCTTACCACTGAATCCTTGGCCCCAACTGAAGAAGACTGCGGACTGTGGCCGAGGGGTGAGGCAAGCGTGGCCTTGTCTCCTGTGGTTCCGACCCGGATTCTCCCCGCCTTCCACTGCAGGCTTCTTGAGAAGCAATCCAAGGGGCAAGCACAATATCTGAGAGGAGGTTTTGCTCATAAATTAATTGTCTAGCACTTTTGCTCACTTCCCCACAGATGTAAAGTTCTCAGGGAGGCTCTCAGTTTCCCTGGCTTGGCCAGCCAAAGCTGACTGAATCCAGATGTGGGCATGATCCTGTGATTTCTAATAAGAAATACATATTTGGCCTTCTGCTTCTGGCCCGAACCTCCTACAACCCTTGGAATTTCCCAAGTGAGATGGGCGGTAAACGTATCTTGACGTTCGTAACAAACCCCTTTCCACCACACCAGAGTTGATGTTAGTGAGGTGGCTTTTGGAAAGCACCTAAGGTTGGGGCTGGTGGCCAGGAGAACAAATCGTGTGATTAGAGGTTGGAACTTTCAGTCCCACCTCCCTGAGCGAAGGAGGGGAGAGGGTCTGGAGGTTGAGTTGACTGCCAACGGCCGTTGACCTAATGAGTCATGCCTATGTGATGAAACCATCATCAAACCCCCAGAGGACGTTGTTCGGAGAGCTCCCAGGTTGGTGAACACGAGGAGATTCTGGGGGAGTGGCTGCTCGGAGCGCGTGGAAGCCCTGCCCCCCATCCCACGCGCCTTGCCCTAAGCGTCTCTTCCATCTGGCTGTCTCTGAGTTATACCCTTTTATGCTAAACGGCCAATCTCGTAAGCAAACAGTTTCTCTGAGTTTTGTGAGCCACCCTAGCAAATTAATGGAACCCAGAGAAGAGGTCATGGGAACCTCCGATCACAGAGCCAGTCGGTCAGAAGCACTGGTGGCAACCTGGACCTGTGACTGGCATCCGAAGTGGGTGAGGGTAGGGGGGGCCGTCTTGTAGGACTGAGCCCTCAGCCCATGGGATCTGATGCCACCTCCAGTAGACAGTGTCCGAATTGAGTCAGTTGCTTGGTGATGTGAGGGGAAAAAAAAAAGAAATATACTTTGGATTTGGTGTCAGAATCATTTTAGGGCAGGGCCCCTTCCTTTAAAAAGAGACAGGAACCAGGGTAGGGGCAAGCCAGAAGGTTCTGGGCCCTACGCCCCATTGGCACGTCTTCGGCTGGTTGCTTTACAGAGTTAAGGAGGCAGGAGGGGTGTCAGCCAGGACCTGCTTGGGTCCGACAGGAGGAGAGAGCACGGGGCAGGGGTCCCTGAGAAGGGTGCCCTCACGCACTCTTTGTTGAAGAAGAGAGCTGTGCCGCTCAAGTGGGCTGCACTCTGGTGGTGCCACCCCGGAGGCTGGTGGTCACCGGTCCGTGACAAGAACTTGGAAGGAAGCACCGAGAAACTTCAAAGCCCTTGACAGAGCAATTTACGGCATGATGGATATCATAATTTTTTTTCTCAAGCTTGTGTTTTGTCTGTCCCCCCCATTACATTTCTGTTCTATTTTACAAAAGTATTGGTCTGTAAACTATCATTTAAAAAACAATAAAAATATTGTTGGTTTTAGAAACCAACCCACTAACGGGCCTTGCATGGTAGGTGGTTGAAGACACTGGAAAAGAGTCTAGTTGTCCAAGAAGCAGACCTGCTGAAGGAAGCCCTCCCGCAGGCCGCAGCCCTCCCAGTCACCGCCACCTCCACGCCGCCCGGCCCCACCTCCTCCCTCCCTCCCACAGCTCCCCCAGCATCTGGTAGCCTCAGCCTCTCGCCTCCTTCGCAGAGCCCTGCGTTCAGCCCCTTGGCCTCCCTATCCCAGCACGTTTTGTTCTCCTAGAAATTACTTCCTTCTTTTAAACTGTGGCAAATACACATAATATAAATATGCCATCTTAACCATTTTTAAGTGTACAGTTCAAGAGTCAAGTACAGCCACCACCGCTGTCCATCTTCAGATCTCTTAATTTTGCAGAACTAAAACTCAGTCCCCAACAGTAGCTCCCCACCCCCGCACCCCTCAGCTGCTGGCAGCCACCCCCCTCGCACCCCTCAGCTGCGGGCAGCCACCCCCCTGTTTCCCATCGCTGTGCGTGTGGCCTCTCCAGGGACCTGCTATAAGTGCAGTTGTCCAATACTTATTCTTTTGTGATTTGCTCGTTTCACGCAGCGTCATGTTTTCAGGTTCATTCACGTTGGAGCCTGTGTCAGAATTTCCTTCCTTTTTAAGGCTGAATAATATTCTGTTGTATGGATGCACAACATTTTGTCTTTCTTCTAGAAAGGTTTGTTTCCTTGAAGTGTTCCTCTCCCTGTCCGGGGGCCGCAGCATCCCCCCGACCCACTGCACGCCCCCTCGGTGCTCCATGCCTGGGTGATCCTGCCTCGGCTCTGGTCAAGCTGGAGCGCTTCTCCCAGACACACCTTGTTCATCAGGGTGCTGCTGCGTTTCCCCCGCCCCAGACCTGGAGGTGCCCATCCACAGGGTTGGGTACTTTCTGTGAGTTCAAGACCTGATGGGCTCCATGCTCTCTCCCTAGGGCCCTGCACCCCAGGAGGCCGGGGGGCCCCACGCACGTCAAACTGGCCGTGGAGTGGGACAGTGGCACCAAGGAGCGGTGAGTCCCGCAGAGGAGACGGGGCCTGTTCTGTGCCAGTTCCCCCGGCGTGACTGTCGGGTGTAGGCGTGCCTCCTGGACGCTGGGTGACCCAGTCCTCCGAGAAGCCCCGCTGGCACTCGTCTGTGTATAAAGTGACAGGAATAGCAACGATGACGGCGCTGGGTGGTGGCACTGGTCGTGTCACTCATGCTTGTAGACGGTGAGGTGACGCTTACCCTCCCCCTGCGCCGGTCACTGCTCCGGCGCTTTACAGACATGCAGTTTATTTCACACATTACATCCTATGAGGAGTGTGGAAACTGAAGCACAGAGAAGTTAAATGGCTGCTCAGTGTCACGCAGCTCATGTGTGGCAGAGCCAGGATTTGAACCCAGGCTGCCTGGCTCGAGCCCGCGCTCTTAACCACCCAGCGTGGCTGCTTCTCTAACCCTGAGGGCACTTGCTCTGCTTTGGGAAAGGACCTTGTTCAGCCCAGTATTTCTAAGTCTCCTACTGATGCCAGGCCCCTGCACCCCAGCATGAAACAAAGCAGGGTAGCCAAGGACCTGGTCCCTCCTGGAGCTGGTAGGGGAGACCGAGAATGCCAGTAAAATCGAGCGGGAGCCCTTGGAAGGGGGCCCTGCCTCCCCGGCAGATGCCAGGCGCCCACACGCCCTCTGTCTGCTCTGCCCCCGCGCAGCCTGTTCGGGAACCTCCGGGAGGAGCAGGTGCAGGACGCGGACAGCGTGTGGCGGCAGCAGCAGGCGCACCAGCAGCCCAGCTGCACCCTGGACGAGTGTTTCCAGTTCTACACGAAGGAGGAGCAGGTCCGGCCGGGCAGGGGGCTGGGGGGGTCTCGGCGGGTGGGCCGTGAGCCTGGGGGTGGGGGCCTCACGGGCCCGGTGGCTTCCTTTCCAGCTGGCCCAGGACGATGCGTGGCGCTGCCCCCACTGCCAGGCCCTCCAGCAGGGCGTGGTGAAGCTGAGCCTGTGGACCCTGCCCGACATCCTCATCATCCACCTCAAGAGGTTCTGCCAGGTCGGGGAGAGGAGAAACAAGCTCTCCACGCTGGTGAAGTTCCCGCTCTCCGGCCTCGACATGGCTCCCCACGTGGCCCAGAGGAGTGCCGGCCCCAAGGCCACACCCGGCCCCTGGCCTTCCTGGAAGCAGCCGGCCTGCCTGCCCACCAGCTACCCACCCGACTTCCTCTATGACTTGTACGCTGTCTGCAACCACCACGGCAGTTTGCAAGGTGGGCATTACACAGGTGAGCCTGCCTCTCGGTCCGTGGCTGTGGCCCGGGCCTCCAGACGCCCCGGGAAGAGGCACCCCTGGGCTGCTGGGCATCGACACAAGCAGACCCCTCACCTGCTGCACGCCCAGCACCTGCCGGGGTGGGAAAGGCGGGTCCGGGGGTAGAGTGGAGTCAGGTTGGTGGTTGGGATAGAAAGTTACAGCCTGAGTTTTCGACTGTACGAAATACGGGAGGGTGGCTGTTGGAACCCAGGGAGTGACGTTTATCCTCATCTGTGATCCGATTCAAGGACTCTTACTTAACAGATTTGGTGTTTTTTATTTCTCTGGGGTACATTTAATTGTGAATCCCTCGGAGGAACTTGAGAGGAGTGAAGGATGGAAGGACAGAAACAGAGAGCTGGACACCTCATCCAGTTGTTCCTCGTCACATACCTTGGTCTGTTCTAGAATCATATGAATTATTTCATCTTTGGAAAAAATGAAAATATTTCATTTTTTTAAAAGTGTGCTGTTCCTAGTGTACTAGTAATGTCCCTGCAGTTTAGAAACACTGGACTGTATAAAAATCCAAGATCATCACTCATTTATTTCTTGAACGAATATTTATGAAGGCCCCCTTCTGTGCCAGGCCCTTGCCATGTGCTGCAGCCTCCGTTTAAAATGGTTTTTACATTTTTAAAAAGTGGTAAAAACAAAACAAAACAAAACAAAAAAACTAGCAAGAAGAATACATGGCAGAGACTGTGTGTGGCCACTGGTGACCTGCAGAGCCTGAAACATTACAGAAAGAAGTTGGCTGGCTCCTGGATTGGGGTGTTATGACACCGTCTACTGGGATGCGGAGGAAAAGAGGAGTATTTCTCGTACTTGTTTGGAAGGGGGTGAGAATCTTACTTATGGACGTTTTCTTAGACGTCTGACTGCAGGTCTCAGGCAGGAGAGAAGTGTGCCGTAATCCAGCTGCCTGCTTTCATTGCACACTGACTCAGAGGCGTGCGTTCTGAAGCTTCTCAGAAGAACGGCGTGAACACTGGCATTGTTGCCTGGGGCTCCCATAAATAACTCGGGATTCCCTTTTTTAATCATCTTTTTTTTTAAATTATCTTTCATCATTCAGGTTTGGCAGAACATCACAGTAGGCATGAAGGGAAAAATAACTATTTTTTCAATGCAATCTATCCGAAGTATATTATATGAAATCATAACATTAGCTCTTAGGGAAGGAAAAAGCATTCAAAAATCAATTTGCAGTTAAGGTTAAAGATTAAAACCAACGATGTCCAAGTAAACCACATATAAGATTTAAATGCAAATCGCGTTTTCATTCCAATGGGGACTCCCCTTTTATTGGAGGTTTTGCCTGAGCAAGCCCTGCAACATAAGGGTTCGTTCGTGGTGTCACAGCTTCCTTTATCCCTGAGCATCTGGGGGTGTAACTGATGGATCCTTTCTGATTCCACAAAAATCATTTCTGGCTAAACATGGACCGATGTTTCTCATTCTGTTACAAACGTCCGTTTTTCAGCTATGCCAGCGGGAAATGTCTTCCTGCTTTTGGGGGGCTGCAGTAATGGGGCCTTGGGGTTTGGACCTTCGCAGCCTATTGCCGGAACTCTCTGGACGGCCAGTGGTACAGTTATGACGACAGCACAGTGGAACCGCTTCTAGAAGACGAGGTGAATACCCGAGGCGCTTACATCCTGTTTTATCAGAAGAGAAACAGCATTCCTCCCTGGTCGGCCAGCAGCTCCATGAGAGGTAGGTGCTGCTGCTGGTTCCAGGCGAGAGGAGGGCCGGGGACCGGGAAGATGCTCCACCGAGCATCCAGGGTCTGGAGAGGTAGGCAGGGGCCTGAGCGAGGGAGCCCTGACTGCAGACTAGTGTCCCACTTGTGAGGATGTGGGATGGACATGCTGGAATCCAAGAGCGGGAAGAGGAAAAGGAGTCACATTTTGCATCTGGCAGGTGGCTCTTGGGAGTGTGGGAGTCCTCATCCCCAGTCTCACTCCTGTGAAGCCAGATTTTAATTAAGCTTGTGCAGCATAAACCTGTATTCGTCCCGTTAGAAAGGGAAGGGCAGTTACAAGGGGCGTGGGGCCTTAACAGCAAACAGCTACTTAACCACATGCCAGGGCCGGGTCTGTTAGGCAGCCTCAGACTTGCATGGCAGCCTGACCATTTTGTGGGACTTATCTCACTCTGCAAACTAGCCATCCTTATCTTTGGGGGTGAAAGAGCATTCAAAAAAATTCCTCAGGTATTTTCCCCCCAAATGCTTGGAAAATGACCAAATAAAACTAACATGCGCCAGGAGGTCTAAATCCACCGATGTGCCAAGTCTGCCTTCTTTTCATGGAAGATAGATGTAGAAAGAGTAAAATATAAGCCATATTTGGAAAACTGGGGTTGGCGACCTGTGGTTTTGTGAAAAGCATTTCGGTATTCATCAGCACACTGTCCTTTCTGTGCCCCGGCGCCTTCCCGCGAGCGCAGGTTCTCCTCTAGCCGTCATCAGTAATCCTGGTCAGGGCTCGGGAGGTGAACCCGGCCGTGAGACGCGCCCCGGGGGCCCTGAAGGATGGCGTGGGGTCCAGCCTGCCCTGTCTGTGGTCCCTCCGCAGGTTCCACCAGCTCCTCCTTGTCTGACCACTGGCTGCATCGGCTCGGGAGCAGTAACAGCAGCACGCGGGGCAGCCTGCTGTCCTGGAGCTCTGCCCCCGCTCCCGCCCGGCCCCGGGCGCCGGGGCCTGCCTCCTTCACAAACAGCCTCCCCCGGCAGGAAAAGGGTACGTTTTATCACGCTCGTTGAATCTGCTGATCTTGCTTTCATTTTCCATGACAATCGTGGCTCCTCATCTTTACGAAAGTGCTGGCACTTCGTGGCCTGGAGTGTGTCTATAAAGAGTCCGTCATCGTGAGAGGTTTGGTCATCGCGCAGATCAGGTCTCCCGGGACCTAGCCCGCCCTGTCCGCTGCCCTCCAGCCGCAGGCACCTTCTTTCTCTGCTCCCTGGAGCCGACCATCTAAAGGGGGGAGACAGTGCATCAGCGAGTAAAGGAATATGATGACGTGCCGTAAAGCAGGGAGAAGGGCGAAGAGGGAGCTCATCAGAGGAGGAAGGTATCTAGGCTGGGGGTGTGGGAGAAGGGGTGCAGAGAGGATGGGGGCTGGGGGGAAGGCCCTTCTGAGGGAGTGAATTTGGAACACAGACGTGAGTGCGCGTGAGTCACGTAAAGTCTGGGCGTGTGCTCCAGGCAAGGAGCTGTTGGGAATAAATATATGATGGTCTCATCTCAAAGCTGCAGGTGGTTTTAGATTATCATGGAATCCAGCCCTCTGATTATTACAGTTTATGTATCAAAGTTTGGTTAGTTATTCCGTGATGTTCGGCATTTTGGCTCCCAAAATCTCACCATTAGAATGTGAATGGGACCACCTCTCCCGCGTGTATCATGTTGGTCTGATTTCCTTAGCATCCGCTATTTGATGCATTATATATATTCTGACATTTCTTTTTCCTTTACGTTTTTATGACTGCACATTTAGGGTAGTGTCTGGTGAACACAAAAGGCGTTCTTTCCCCAACTTGTCCATCCCCCACCAGCATGAGTCTCTGACAGCCTCATAAATTCATCTCAGTTCTGTCCAGAGGCCTAGGACCTTGGGCCATGTCTCAGTTCTCCCAAGGAGAAATGTGTTTCACATCCCCTGTAGGAGACAGCTTCAAAAGATGGCCAGCTTTTCCACAGGGTGCTCAGACAGCGGTGAGGCCCAGCTCCAGAAAACTCCCCAGAGAGACTGCGAGGGCCGGCGGAGAAGTAACATTGGCGGATAACTGTCCCCCGGGCCCCTGCAGGCATTTTACTTACCTCATCGACTCAGATGAGAGGTGGAATTCTAGCCCTTTTGCAAGGGAGAAAGCTGATCTTAGGAAGTAACCGGTCACAGGAACTCCTGGGAGGTAGCCGGGCTGCAAATAGATCTGCTCCCTCTGGCAGCCGGAGTCCTGGCTGTGTGGCTCCAAACTCAAGTTTATGCCATTCAGACACTGCAAGAGCCTTGCTTCCACAGGGAGCGTTCCCTCTTGGGGTTTGAATAAAACGGCGATAGATTTTGAAACCTGTTGGAGAGGCTCTGAGATGGTTGAGAATCCGGCCTGATTTTCCTGTTAGATCAAAATCCAGCACGTAGGTTTCCAACAGAGGTTTAGTACTATCTCCTCCCCCCACGGGGATGTCAAATGAGCAGAGGGGACAACTGGCATTTAGTCCCCAGGGGGCGGGGATGCTAAGTGGCTTGCAGTGCCCAGGGATGGTACCAGTCAGTACAGACTTGTCCTTCCCAAATCCCAGCAGTCCCCTGTAGGGAAATACTGATAGCTTGGTGACTTCATCCTTCTGCGAGCTCTGGTTATAGGGACTTGATAGTTATGAAGGCATTTTAAACTAAAACAAACAGATCTAAGTTTTGTGGGGACTGCAGCTCAAATCATTGGGGATGGGTGTTGGGACAGGCTCTATAAGAGAAAGGACATAGATACACCTTACTTTTGCAATTGTATGAAAATGTGACTGTGAAAAAATTGCAAAGGTCCTTCACAGAGGAGGGGGCCTGGGGCTAAAGCATTTCAGTGTTGGTGCTCCTGACGGTAAATGTCTTCTGTGGCTTTTTATTGAGCCTCAAAGGTTTTGTTTTCTCTTTCTCAGTGCTTTCCAGAGAGTGTGTTATTTCAGGTTTTGATTTCCTCTTTCATCTCAAGGTTATCTGGGTGTTTCAAGTACTTAAGAGTTTTTGGTCACTTTTTTATTCTTTACACCTAATTTTACAGATTGTGATTCAAGAATATGGTTTTCAAAAATGATTCCCTTTTTGTGATCAAGTTAGTACATGGTGATGATTTTGTCAGTGTTGTGTGCGAACACAAAATAATGGACATTGTCTGTTTGGGGGATGGGAGCTTTATATCTTAACGACTAAATTAGGTGAGTTGGTTGTTGTATTTAACTTCTCCATGTCTTTTTTAACTGAAGTATGCTTGATTCATACTGTGTGAGTTTTTGGTGCACAGCATAGTGATTCAGTTATTTATATATATATATGTGTGTGTATGTGTGTATATACACTTTTTCATATTCTTTTCCATCATAGGTTATTATAAGATATTGAATATAGTTCCCTGTGGTATACAGTAGGACCTTGTTGTTTATCTATTTTATATATAGTAGTGTGTATCTGTTAATTCCAAACTCCTGACTTATCCCTCCCCAACCCCACTCCCCTTTGGTAACCATGTTTGTTTTCTATGTCTGTGAATCTGTTTCTGTTTTATAAATAAGTTCATTCATATCATATTTTAGATTCCACATATAAGTGATATCATATGACATTTGTCTTTGTCTGACTGACTTAGTATGATAATCTCCAGGTCCATCCATGCTGCTACAAATGGTACTATTTCATTC